GGTTACCGCTGATCACGGCAAGTTTAGCGGCAATAGCGTCGCGCGTGAAGCAGGATCTGTGGAGGAGCGGGTTGTGCGGATTCCCGCTGCAAGCTCCTACGGTCCAGTACGGGCCAGATTAGAGCTTCAGGTCTCCAGCCTCTGCCACGAGAATGCTGCAAGAGCTGCTGCAAAGTTACCCACTCTAGGTCCCGACCAGGCATTTCTGCAGCAGCTTGCAGCTTCCCCTACCCTGGGCTGCCTTCGTTCCGCAGCGTTATCGGGGTGGCGGCAGCGGCGACGGCGACGATAAGAGACCATGTGGACAGCCGGGTCCGCATTGCTGCCTGCCGGGCACATTCCAACGTGTCGCCTCCGTGTCCGATACCTCACCTATATGAGTGACTCAGTGGGTGAGTGAGTGATAGCTGAGCTCGTCAGGCACCACGATGGCGCAACTGCCAGGCGTCCTCCGTCGTGTTGTGGCCGTTCGCCCAACGCCTCTCGACGAGATACGTCGACATTATTGGTCAAGTGGATCTATCTCTGTGGATCGAGACAAGATGGGAGGCGAGAAACAAAGGGGTTCAACAGCTCGTGGCTACGAGTATCTGGCCCATACCATGGCAAGTGCATGAAAACACGCAAAATTGCTACCGTCAATTGGCTGACAACAACTGCCTTGGACCTGCGACCGGGACTAGGCACGGCGGACTATCGGCGGTGGACGACCTTGGTGTGGCTTTTCTCTGGCTTATGGCGCCTTGCTGCGCATCGAAATTGGTCCCAGGTTGCCAGGTACTGACAATACCTGAGTGGCTGACGGATGCGTCCTCACCCCCAACCGCCTCTTCTCTCGCTTCTGGCGCTTCCTTTGGGTCACCGCCGTCGTTCTCTGCCTTTCCATGGGGCCTGACCGCCGACGGACTCGTGACAGCTCCCGCCGCCGGTTCCCTTTCCGGCTCCCGTGCCGAATCCGTCCGGCGCTTTCAAGGGCCCAGCTCGTCCAACACTCGGTCCTTCCGCAATGTGTTTTCAATGCGATCGTGGTGTAGTCGTAGTCGTTGTTATTGTTGCTGTCGCCAACGGACGGGCTCACCGCTGGTTCATCTAGCCTTAAGCTGTCTTGACATGCTGCTCCAATTGGGCCTACCGGAGAAGGTTTGTGTAACTCTTTGGCGCCTCATTCGTCGACCCCACCCCCACCTTCGTACAGCTCCGTCGCAGTCGCACACACACACACACCTACGACAGCTGCAACCCAACCTACCTACGACGCTGCATCCTTTTCCCCTTCCGGGCCTTCTTGGTTTCCGGTTTGGCTTGACCGCCTTCTTCGCAATTTACCGCCGTCCATCCTCATGCACGAACCAGTGTCAGCTTGGTCAAGTCAGCTACAGGACATACCAACTCACAACACGCGAAACCTCACTGAAGGATTTTCTTTCACCCTTCTCGCGTTCCTCTGACATTTCGCGCGTCGCGTCCCGGTCCTCACCGTCTCACCTCTATCCATATTTCTTCTCACCTGGTCACCGCCACTACCGACGCAAAAACACCCGACGCACATCGTGCCTGAACAGCCCACCATGGCACCGAAAGTCGGCAGTGTCAAGGTCGTGTTGCTTGACATCGGTGAGCCTTCATCTCCCCGCATCCACACATTTTCGGACTTGGATGGATTTGTTTTGTAGTTGATAAGAGAACTCACGCTGATTTGAACCACTCGCCCGCGTTGCAGAAGGGACCGTGTGCCCCATTTCCTTTGTCAAAGATGTCTTGGTATGATTGTCTTGCCCGCAGCCACTTCCACCTCCCAACCCCGGTTCTGTCGGGTCCCGGGTGACACCCCGATTATGCTCTCCGCCGCTTGCCTTCTCCTACCACGGAGGTCGCCTGTCCATTCCTGCCGGATCACCGTGCGCATAGACTCGAGACGGCACAATCCCTGCGTCCCGTACTGACACTTCGTCCTCCCCATAGTTCCCCTATGCTGTCAACGTTCTGCCGGCCACCTTAGACAAGCAGTGGGACAGCCCTGAATTTTCTCACTACCGGAACGCTTTCCCTGATGATTGCGTGTCTGACCGTTCCGCTTTCGAGGCTCACTTCCGGGACCTCGTCAGCCGCGATGTCAAGATTTCTTACCTCAAGGCTCTCCAAGGCTATCTCTGGAAGGAGGGCTACAAATCTGGCGAGATCAAGGCACCCCTCTTCAAAGATGTCCCTGGGCGTCTTCTATCGTGGAAAAACGCCGGTTTGCGCCTGGTTATCTACTCATCCGGCTCTGTTCCCGCGCAGAAACTCTTCTTTGCCCACACAGATGCTCTGCCGTCGGACTTGACACCCCTCATCTCTGGCTGGTTCGACACTGTTAACGCCGGCCTCAAAACCGAGTCTAGCAGCTACACCAATATCTTATCCAACTTTCAAGATACCAAGCCTGATGAGTGGCTCTTCCTCAGCGACAATCCACTTGAAGTCTCAGCCGCCATTGCGGCAGGAATGCAAAGCATACCCGTCGTTCGCCCGGGCAACGCACCTTTGCCGGCTGATATGAACCCTCAGCCGATCAGGGACTTCAATGAGTTGGAGGATCATGGATCAACACAATGACAATCGCCGAATGATTGCGGGTTTGCCGGCAAATGCTCCTGATAAACGCTGTAGCTCGATCGGGAGGGTTCGTTTGGGGTGCCTCGAATACAGTCTGCATCCGGCGAACATCACCTTCAGCTTTCCCGTCTCCGTCCTTCCCGCGAATCCACAAATCTTGTTCCTGCTCTCCTTTCTTCCAATCCACACAAAGACCGTTCCAGGCGACCCCCTCCAACTCTTCACAGCGCCGTACCACAACTTTGTGCGTAGCCACAACGACGCCAGTCGGAGCCCAGCCTAGACAATTGGTTTAGTGCTGAACTCTGGGCAAAGCGAGCAAGGACACAACGAATCCAATATAAGAATCCGGGTGTTAAATGCCTAAATACTTGTTACACACCCAGCTTCATCTCTCACGGTAACGAAATGAACAGTCCAGCCACATTCAATTAGGGCTCGCAAGCAACACTCGAGCCATCTCTTGATAACTAGCGGCCAGGTACTCTACCGACCCCGAGCCATCCGCCACCTTTTCACGGTACATTGTTGATGCCGGTGATAAGAGTGTTGAGCGGCGGGTGGGGGCGTTTGAACGGGGTTCTTGAAGTCTGGAGAGACGGTACCTGGGCATATCACCAGGGCTAGCCGGCGCTGACCCTCTGGGCAACGTGACACTTTGTAGTGCGCATTTCCATGGTGATAACGCAAGTGATCGTCCGTCGATCTATGCAAGGCCACCTGCTGAGGAATCCCACTGTGTCGTCGAGTTCTCCCTTTTGATCGCCCATTGCCGTCCTGAAAAAGGAAGCCGCAGCCAGGGATAAAGCTCCGTATCTGCTTCGAACAGGAGTAAGGTTTCTCCACCCGACTTCGGAGGCCGTAGTGTTGGATCGCGCGTTGGTTAACCGGGTGTCCTCATCAGTCATCATTCTCGCCTGTTCCACAGCGGTACTGAAATGACAACTTCCGGGCCACTGGTGTCACGAAGCTTTCAGAGTGATAGCAAAGTTATTCCGAGTCACTCCTGGGTTGACCTCAGTCTTGGTAAACGGGGTCATGGGCTGCTGAGCAGGGCCCTGTCTCTTCCAGAAGGAGTAGGCCAATTTGTTCGTGAGCTTGACTCCGACCTGGGCGTATCCCAAGAGAGTCATCAGCTCAACAAGTCGATCCTGGGAGAAGTAGCGTGAATTGGAGATGCAGCTTTTGGGTAGAACGACGAACAATGAGGGGAAAACGTTGCGGGCGCTCTCTGGAAGATCGTCATTGGGCTGACGGAGAAATGACAGCGTACGGAGAAGCATCTCCCCACGTAGCGAGTGGTCAGGGACGTAGTTAAGAACCAGACTGAGTGAGATGATATCAAACCGCTCTGTATCGTCCTTGGGAAGAGGTCTCTCCATGAAGTCCTGTTGGAGGATTCCCGGCTGTTGACTGTTAAGGTCGATGAGCTCCATCTCGAAAAGCCCACTCTTGGAGCAAGCATTACCGACACTGAGTGCGCCCACCTCAAGCATGCGCAAGCGGCGGCGTTCACTGCCGCGGTTGTCGCTCGTCGCCGCCGCCATGGTCTTTGTTGATTGGAGATTCGCCGATCGCAGCCAGTCCAGAAGAACTTTTGAGCTGTCTCCGCCACGATCTGTCCTTTGGCCCTGGAGACTGGCCTGTTGATACTCCTTGAGTCCGCCGAGCGCAGAAATCTTCGCCGCCAAAGCCGCAGCTTCTTTCTCGTCGTTTCTTGCCAAGGCCTGCTGTCGCTTCTTCTGCAGTGTGTGATGAGTGTTGATGAGAGTTCTGGTTTCTTTCCGACTAATCGACTTCGCCTTCTTCAGAGTTGGAGGTCTACCACTTGACAGAAGCTTCGGTGTTGGTTTTTGTCGAGCCATAGCTGATGAGCCGTCACTTCTCGAAAGAACAAGTGTGACCGCACAAGGCTTTTGATACCGGCGGTAAGAAATATTGTGCAGGGTATTTGACGGTCGGGATGCGATCACGACAAACCAGATCTAGTATCAGAGAATCTCAAAGCTCGAGAGATATTGCGAAGCCATAGAGTATCATGTAGTCAAGAATCTCTCAGAACAAAATTTCGACATCCATTGGTTCTCCCGACCCGACCACGAACTGATCTTAAGGTGCCTCAGGTAGGTGAGCTCCGCTGTCAGCGACCGGCGAATAGATATTGCGTTTCTTAGATAAGTTTCCGGGCCCCCGCCGTCCCGGTCGTCGAGCAGCCCAGCCTCGAGGATGCACGGACCATGTAAGCGAGGGAAAAAAAAAAAAAAAAACCCCAATGCCCTAACACAAACCACAGAATCTGGGGGGGGGGGAAAAAGGAAAAGTTCACGAGAGCCTTCTTTTTTTGACCTCAACCGCGACTCAGCCAGCTAACCCGACCAGCCAGCCAACGACCCCCAACATTCACAATGGCCCCTAACACCAAGAAAGGTACTTGACAGCAACACCATTCCAAGATGTTTCCAGCTCGATGAATCTTCTGCCCGTCGACGGCAACGGGGCGAACCTCCCGAGCATCATGCTGCAGCAGATTTTGCGAGTTCTTTGATCATAAAGAGCGATTGCTGATGCGACATCTACTACAGGCGGTGCCTCCAAGGCTCCCAAGGGCTCCAAGCAGGCCAATGCTGCTGCCAAGGCTGCCCTGAAGGGTGTAAGTACAACGCAAAAATTTGACGAGGCGCTTCCTCGGAATGAAGCGGGATCGATGAATGGCGGCGACCTCGACTGCTCGCTCCATGTCTCCCGCCTCCTCCAAGAAAGCACATTTCAAGACGGACGACCTAAGCTGACATGCAAACTTCTTAGACCAACTCCCACAAGAAGACCAAGGTCCGCTACACGACCTCCTTCCACCGCCCCAAGACTCTCGTTGTCTCCCGCGCCCCCAAGTACCCCCGCAAGTCGATCCCTCACGAGCCCCGTCTCGACGAGCACAAGATCATCATCCACCCCCTCAACACCGAGAGCGCCATGAAGAAGATTGAGGAGAACAACACCCTCGTCTTCATCGTCGACATCAAGTCCAACAAGGCCCAGATCAAGCAGGCCTTGAAGAAGCTCTACGACATCGACACCGTCAAGATCAACACCCTGATCCGGTAAGAGAAGTTCTCCCTTAGTTGGATGCGACATGCGCGCAACAGACAGACCATCAACATCAAATGAACTAACAATGACTGGTGTAGCCCTGACGGCTCCAAGAAGGCCTACGCCCGCCTCACCCCTGACGTCGATGCTCTTGACATCGCCGCCACCAAGCTGGCTCTCGTTTAAACATTGAAATGACGGGAATGGGTACGGGAACAAAAAGCAATTCGGGTTCATTGACTGCAACGGCATTGGCATTGGCGTCTAAAGGTTGTTGATTAGATCCCCGAGGGTGGAATTCCAGGGGGCGCAAATCGATTCCCCAGTCCTCGAGCTGGGGTACAATGACCAGGTTGAGTCTCAAAAATTGCATATGAACGCGGAACCACTGCCGCCCCTCGTGACCCTGTCTTTGAACCACATTGAACCACAACTGCTCCTTTTTGCTCCCTGTGCTCGCCAATCAATGTAATCACTAGAATTGTATGCACTAAATTGCAATGGCAGCGTGGGAAGTGTGCTATCCAATCACTCGTAACATGTCGTAGTCCTACAATGCTTGTACGTGAGATGAGCGCCAGCTGAGGCGTCTTCCATTCCCCTCTCGGTATTTGAGCCCCATCCTCCTAGGCCCATGTGAGCATACAAATCATCTAGCCCGAACGCATGTTGTTCAGGTGCTTCATTGTGAGGAAGTTGACATCGAGGAAGCGGTCCACACAGTTGGCAAGGCACGACTCCTCTCCCCTTTCCAGTTTTGAGCCGCGAATCGAGCCGCTGGCGCACTTTTTCCAGCAAATTTCCGTGAGCGCGTGGGTTTCTGTCGTGATTGCATGTCAGCTTCCTTGCTTGCCTCGATTGCCTAATGCTGCCTCGCGCTGCGCTCTACAGAATCGGAGATTGTGCTCACGTGATTGTATCTGCGACCGCTGCTGCTCGTTCGCAAGGAATTGACGGAGCTCGGCCTTGTCCTTGTCATTGAGCTGTTCCAGGTCGGTGTTCTGGAGGGCCTGCTTAGATGACTCCATGGCTTCCGTGTCTGACGCTGCGCTCCGGAGAAGTCGTGTTACAACGCGGTTGCGTGTGATGTAGAAAGTTCCAGATTTCGATCTTCCTTGAAACAACGGTATAGGAGACCTGAGGCGTGCGTCGTTGCGGTTGTTCTTCGTGGTGAAGGTTTTGGAATAACAAAGGTTCAGTTGGCTCACACTTTTTCCCATGTCCCCACTCTGGGTCCCGCTACCTTAGTCTCAGTACTACCTAGGTAGGTAGGTAGGACCTACCTCACCACATTGGCACAGAATCCGCTTCGCTTGGACACCGTAGTTTTCGTCTGAGGAGAGACGACCAACTTTTTGACATTACGCATACTTGCAAGGAGCATACCTCGAGAAACACATGCCCAACTTTACCGTAGAGAACAAACTCACACTGCATGGAGGCTTTTGATTTTCCCCCTTTTGTTACACGGTTCAACGGTTAATTTGACACACATCGTCAGCAGATCCGATTGCAACGAGAGAAAGGTGAAATTACTACGTAGTCTAGTCCCAATGCCATCCTCTCCTTCTTTAGTGCTACCGTCATTTCCTCTGATCACTCAGCCATAGTATCCGCCTAGCACACAGGACCGTGTCTTTAAATGTACTTGTATCTGCGAGCCAAAGCCAAGCTAACCACACAGAAGAAAATCAAACTTCCCAAGATGGTGAAGAATGGAGCGAGAGTGTTGCTCCCTGCGAACGGAACTGGAACGTTCATGCCAAACAAACCGCTGACAAGGTTCAGCGGCACGAGGATGGATGCCAGGAAGGTGATCTTGCTTAGAACCAAGTTCGTGTGCGTGCCCTGCGAGATGCTGTTGATCGAAAGTTGCGCCAAGTAGTTGCTGTGGGAGCGAGACAAGATCTTCTCAAAGTGACCTAGGTTGGTGACCATGGTAACGACGTGATCTTGGATGTCACCAAGATAGAGGCCGATATCCATGCGGGGAGTGACCTTGTAGTTCTCGTTGCAGCGCTTCGTGAAGCCTCGGAGCACATCAGCTTTGCCTCCCAGAAGGCGCATCAAAGCCATAGTGTTCTTACGAACACGGCCGATTGATCGAAGGAAAGCGTTTGAGTCGTCCTCACGAGCCACGAAGACGCCATCCTCGATAGCATCTGCCTCGACTTCGATTTCACGAATGACAGGCGCGAAGCAATCGACAATATCGTCGCTGGTGAGAAGGTTAGCAAGGATTGCCGACATGCGCAAGCAGAAAAACTTACATGAGGGCATAGCAGATCCAGTCACTGCTGAGCGCAACGTAGTCCTTGAGAAGGGCAATGCGCTTCCGCACGTGCGACGCATGTGCGTTTGGCTCAAAGCTGAAGCTTAGAGTACCCTCACGGAAGACGACGACATAGATATTGAAGGGCTCGTATTCGATGCCGTCATCTTCCTGAACTGCGTGGAACGATCGGAAGCTCGCAAAGTAGTAAGAGGGGAAGAGCTCAATCTTCTCCCGAGCCTCTTGCGTTGTGATATCTTCGATGGTGAGCGGATGAACACCGAAAGCCTTGCAGAGAGCAACAACCTCCTCTTTGGTCGGGTTGTTGACGTTCAGCCACCAAACACCATCCGACTCATCTGCAGGCAAGGCAAAGAGACCGCGGAGGTCCTCTCCGGGTAGCACGAGGTCGCCGAGTTCTGCAGCGTGGATCGTTGACTCCCACGCCGAAGAAAAGAAGCTGAACCGGTTGGGATCCACCGGCTGTTGCGCTGGGGATTGCTTCGCCTTAGGCTCCTCATCCACAGCGGGCTCCTTCTCGGGAGCATCCTGACCCGTGGACGAGTCCGAGGGCATGTTGAGAATGTCTCCATCAACAGTGTGGAGCTGCAATTGTGGCTGCACAGCTTCAGATGTCTGCGGCCTGAGGTCTGGGAAGGCACGAAGAGATTCGCGGCGGCTGTTGACCCGCGAGGCCCTATCCGACTGAACAAAGTTCTCGAGATAGTCGAAGTCAATGTACAACTGGTCTTTGCGCCGACCCTCCTGGAGAGGGAAGCAAACGTCTTCCTCGGCGGACTGATTGGTAGCCAGGCTGGCACCATCGTCCACCGTGTGCGGCCGGCTGCGATGGCTTCGGCGACTGCTGATTGAAACAGCTCGGTGCAGCTCTTCTTCGTCACCAGCCCGCTCCGCCTTAGACTCAGAAAAGGACATGCCACGCTCACGCCGACGCGCCTCAGCGAAGGCCTTGACAGAGTTTGGCGGCGACACGGATCGTTGATCAGTGATGGTCTCAACCGTCGGCCGACGAACACGACGAGCCGTTGGTGAGACATCAGCCCCTTCTTCATCCACAATTGCTTCTTCAAAGTCCCTCACCCGAATGTTGGCTGATGCATCCGCTGCAGCCGACTCGGGGCTCAGCAATCGAGCTCCGTAAAGCGTGTCGAAAGTGCCTCGACGGGGACGCTCTGGGTGAGGGGCAGCCGTGACCTGGTGACGGTGATCGTCAAGCTCAGGGATCGGCGTCTTGAAGGTGCCCTCAGAGATGGTCTCCTCGTGGTCCGACATGATGAGAATTGTTGACAGTACGCTTGCGGTGCTGCTGGTATTTCGATTGACGCGATGAAACAGGCGGACCAGTCGATTTACAGGACCGTAAGGGAGAGCGATGAGATGTGTTACTCGGAATCGCTTCTCTTCAAATGCCTCCGCAACGCTCAACTCAGATGGCGATACCCATAACTGATGCGTTTAGTGACGTGCGATGCAAACCGCAGTTGATAGCACCCCGCGCGGCCGCGGCGCGCTGTCCGCTGAACGAATAGCTAGCTTCCAGGGCAAAGAGGGCTGGCGACAGTCCCGAGAGCCGTGATAAACGCTGGAAATGCCAGCAGAGCGACGGCGTGACGTTTTCGCAGTGATGTTTCCAAGGTGTATGAAATCGGCAATGGGGAAACCCAGTTATGGAGGCTTCTTGTTCACTCCGCTGTAGACCCAGAAACCAGGACCTAGGAGTGAACGGGAGGGGGAGGTAGCGGCAGCTGCGAGTGAAGCCAACTTGGTGGTGTTCTGGTTGAGAGGGTAGTTCAGTTGGGTCTCGCGACCTGTGAAAATGAAGCCAGGCGAGGACGATAATGCCGGACTGTGATGCAGTTACGCGGGTGCTGGGAGGTCGGACGAGCGTGTGCGATATCGAAGGTAAAATTCCCCGCGAGTTTGCGGTTTGACGATAAAGGACCAGAAAGAGGGATTTCCTGGCGATAGCAGCGGCAGAGGTACGAGAGGTGTTCTATTTGGGTCAACCCTAGATGCGGGACTCGTCGCCCGGAAACAGGTTCGTCCGTCGCAGTCCCGAAAGTCGATTGTCAAAGAAAAAATCAGACTGATCTGATGGAATGCTCGTTCTGTGCGAGGCAATGAGCAGAAACTGGCCGTCGGCAATGGAAGACTTGGGACGATTTGAACTTGCCCTCGAGCGGTGGTGCGGTCGAGTTTTTGTTGTTTTTCCTGTGGTAAAGAAGAGAGAGAGAGAGAGGCCATAAAAGGGAGGAGAGGATTTCCTGGTTGTCAGAAAAATTCCGAGCCAGGGAGACGCCCGGCAGAGGCGAGGCGAAGGAGAACTTTTTTCCCCTTCAGGTGTCAAGCACTACCTGGCTCCGGCCAACAGCAGCCCAGCAGTTGGGCAGTGAGGTGGGGAACTGAAGTCGTCCAGTGTCGCTGCAGCGGGTGGTCTGTCACGGGTCCTCTGAGTGAGCCCGACTGCTGTGGTGCCAGTGCGACGTGCCCTGTAGGAATTTAGTAGTGAGGTGCGCTAGTGTACATTCACAGTTGCGTAGGTAGCTGAGTGGACCCGGGCCGGGCGGCACCGTGCAAGCCCACAGTTTGTGGGTCCGTTCAAACGGTTCGCGGTACACTGATCTATTGTGCCCCTCCAAAGGGGGTGCACGCCCAAGCCAAGTGCTTCCAGTGTCATGGGTCGCTTCGAGTGCTTCCGCCGAATGGGCTGCTACCTGTCCGTACTTAGGTAGAGCCAAGCATAGTGTCCGTGCTTCCAAGCACCTACCTTACTATTACGAACTGGCATACTTGTTGCCAACTACACCCAGCGGACTCCTCGTAAGCCTGATCCGTTGATCGCCTCAAAATACCCATCTTCTTACTTTTCGGGCATACATCTACGGGCCGACAGACTGATTCTATTCCTTGCCAAGCCAATTCCTTGCTGCACGCGTTTCTCGATCGCCCTTCAATCTTGCTACCAGACGCAGCATCTCGTACCGTCACACAGTCCTTCACTTCGACACAATTCCCTTCCATAGCCCGCATGGCTGATCAAATTCTCGACCAGGTGCGCGACCTGGCCGAGGGTCAGATTGTGAGTGCCGCAAGACGTCTTTATCCAAATCACGTTGCGCTGATGTCTGCCTCTCCTCAGGACTTTGAGGGCCAAAAGCTGGCCGACCTCTTGGCGACCCTCGTCCTCTCAGCATCCGGGGTAAGTTCGCACCTCAAAACTTTCAACACCATATCCCTCTTCTCCGCGACCTTCTAACAGTTTATATTTTAGGCACTCGCCTTCCTCGTCGGCTTTTTCCTTCAAGATATCAAGTTGGCAGTTTACATAGGTCTCGCTGGCACCGCCCTTACATTTCTCCTCGTTGTGCCTCCTTGGCCATTCTATAAACGACACCCGGTGAAGTGGTTGGAATCTAATGGCACGGGTATACGCAATGTGGCTACAATAGAGAAATCGGGCTAAGGGTATCGAGAGTAACAGTCATAAGGCTAGGCGTAATCATTCCAGTGCTTCCTATGGTATCGTATCTTCTCGTGTGCCTTTACTCCTGGTCGGCCACATTGGCCGGCGTTGTGCAAATTGCCGCAGCCCATTCATTGTACCATTTGACTGTATTGAGGCGCTCCTGCGCGACTATGCGATGCCAAACCCAAGAAATAATATCTCCCCGTGGGTAACCACCATGTCAACGACCGTACTTCTGAAACTCCCAGTCACGGTTGTCCAGTGGGCACACTTGGCGGGCCTTGAGCCAGCGAGAAATACAATGGAAATGGAAGGCGTGCTGGTGAAAATGTTAGCATACGTACAGCTGCGTCGGGCGAGAATACGTACGTTGCAAATGCCCCAAGCTACGGTGCACTCCTCGCTCGTGGCAGAGGCTTGGTTCGCTTGACACTCAATGCCTGTGGTGGTGTCAGTATGTCCGGGGAAACAGCTTAGCAGCCGATGGTCCTTCTATTCGACGTACAGAGGTCCATGATGTGGTTTCTGCAGATGGCGCAGTTGTCGACGACAATGTCCCATGCCCAGAGTGCGACGGCGTTCCACTACCCATCCGTAAGCTCAGAAAGAGTATGCTTGGTCCGAGATGCAAACCTTCTTGACCTCGAAGCGCTTCTTGCCGTCGGCGGCCTTGGAGTCACCGTCAGCTCCCTTCTTGACGACGCTGCCAGGGGCATCGGTCATGTCGACGTCGGCCATGGTGGGATGCTAGAAACGGCGGGGTTCGGTGGACGTTTCGGGGGGGCGCGGCGAGTGCTGCGAAAGCGGAAGACCGGGAGTCGAGGGGCGGGGTCGATGAGTTGTTGAAGTGGTGATGGAAATCGGACTTTGGCAGAAGAGCTCTCGAATTTAACGGTTGGTTGTTCCTGATACTGTAGTACCTGGTTGGAGGTGGGGAGGGTCAGCATCGATCAGTGAGGTCAAAGAGGTGGCAGAATCGGCAGGTGACAGCAGGGTACAGCAGGAAGGTAGACAGGGAAGGCTGTCGTGGAAGAAAGAACACGTCGGGTTGATGCGGTCGGGAGAATGAAGATATTCCATACCACTTCCCGTACCTCTTGGATGTTTTATTGTCGTGTTTCGTGGCTAGTTTTGCTCGTCCTCGCGGGCGTTGCGTTGGTGAAGCACTACTGCTTAACTTACCTTTGGCAGGGTAGGGTGGTAATGACTGAGGGGCGAGGCAAGGCTGCCACCAGTGGTTAGAGCAACTCCGTTTCGTAGGCAGGTGCGAGCTGTGATTGGATGGAGTTAAGCTGTGAACTGAGGGCGAGGCACCTACTGCATACTACATACGGATACGTACCTAACGCCTGAGTACCTTACTTAGGTACCTAGGTAGTGTACCGAAGGTGCCTTATGGTGCCTAGTGTACCTACCTAGGTACGAATACCATAAGCACCCCACCCAGGATACCTACCTACCTACGTAGATGAGGTAGGTTGTGCGGCGAAGTTCAGTGTGCCTTTCATGTCAGCTCTGACTTCCGCTGGCTTCCATCCATGGATTCCAAAAGTGCCTACTTAAGGTAAAGTACGGTAGCCAGAAGATAGTCTAGGTACCGTAGTCGTATGGCAGCATTGCCCTACCTGAGGTCCTGTCAGGTAAGGTACGGTACCCGTGCCGCGTTCCATTTGCCCTGAGACACTCGCATAGCTGGTGGCATCTATTTGATGACGGGAGTTCGAATATCGATCGAGTGGTGCGGGCAATGCGACGCCAATTCAGTTCTCTGCCGCTGAAGACTTTAGCTTGACGAACTACCAGGTCATACTACGGATATCTGCAGCACAGTCCACACTTCAGAGTATATAGACAGATGCTCAACCATGCTGTCTCCGCGTCACAGCAGTGACGCAGTTGATCCTGGAAAGTGACTCGCGCCCTGCCATTTTTGGTGCACGGGAAACAAGGATGGTGAGGTGCCTATCATAGCAGGAGTGGCTTACCGTGAGGCTGGCATTGGGAACGGCCCGGAAAATGAGGGACAGCAGTGGCTCAGTTGCTTCTGATTGGATGTATTTTGGTCGGTGGTGTTGGACAGTTGCGAGGAACAGCACAGGTTGGGATGGCATGCCGTGCCTCGCCAGGCCCTGCCGAACGAGCCCAATCTTGGCGCCAGGGTTACTTAAGCCCCTCTCCCCTCTTTCGCCATTGCCTAGCCGCATCACAGCTGCAGCCACTGCCCACCCCATCGCTGCTTCAGCGTCACCCTATCTACTTTCGCCCTCCTTTTGCACGGCACAATGAGCAGAGCACCATCACGCGCTTCTTCTGCATCAGATAATTGCTTCTACTTTTCCCTTCCCCGAAACCCGCTTCCTCAGACAGACCATCCTCCTGGCGCTTGAACACGCAATCCGACCATCATCCGCCCGTAACCAAAGCGAAAAACCCAGTATCTTTAAGCATCAACACGACGCTCCCAGCGGCACATCGACAGCCATAGTTGCACTCACTCTGCGGTCAACCGATCTACCCGACAAGCCTGCCTCATCTTAACGCATCATACCTAGCCTACGTACCTACAGCGCTCTGCCTGTACCGACTAGGCTCTGGGCACGAGACTGCCGTACACAAAGCACTCTTCTCGTTCCTTTGCCGTCTCTCGTTACATTAATTACAACGCAAAGCAAAACACCGAAAGCCGAAAAGCGACAAGCCAGCTTGTCCCTTCAGACATCAGTATGCAGGAGGCAACCAATCAAGCGAAGCCTACAACCAACCGTCGTCGAGGTCGAAATGGCGGCGGGAAGGCGGCCGGGCAGAAAATGTACGCCTCCGAGAGCGATATGGCAAATGTGTCGAATTCTGCCTTTGATCAATTCGGTCCACACACTCCTCAGAAGTCCTACTCGGGTTCTCCAGATCCCCAGTCGGCCGCGGGGGCTCAGACCGGCTCCAAGCAGCGCTCTCGCAACAAGCCTCGAGCGAAGAATCCCAGTGCCAATCCTGTAGCATCGCCAGACACGCGCCAGAACCGTCGGTCAACACCCCAGAGCATTCCCGTCAGCAACAAGCCAAACACCGCTGCAGCCTTCGCTGGCGCAACCTTCCACGCATCTCCCGCCCCTTCAGCTCTGCCTATGCCTAGCTTCTACTCGAAGTCGATCCCCGAGTCCCCAGGCAATCCGGGCATGAGACGAGAAGTTCAGCAGCAACCATCTCCCCCAGTGACGGAGCATGAGGCACCGACTCCGCACCATTCATCGACTGTGCCTGTGGCCCGAGAGTCTCCTCTTGATGCTATCTTTCGAGCAGATAGGGCTGAAAAGGAGAAGGCACGTCGAGTAAGCTCTCTTCACTCCTCTTCTCGGCCTCAGGGGCCTGTCTCGCCGCCGGCTCCCGCGCTCAGAGACAGTCCCTTCGCCGCGAAACCGTACAATACCCACCCGGGGCATCGAATGCCATTCGAGCGATCCTCCAGCGGCATTTCTTCGGCAGAGCTTGATGGCTTTCCCTGCAAGCCACTTGGCCCTGCTTTTTCGACTCCCTACCAGGACCGCATTCGGGCTGCCCGCGCCGGTCCTAGTCAACCTTGTACACCAAAAGCTTCGGAAAACTCACCATCCGAGGACCGCTCCGAGGCCTTGAAGAAATACTTGTTTGGAGGCAAGGGTATGACAGGCTCTCCTCAACCCTCGCCATCGATACCTTCAACTCCGCACGCCAGTAATGGTATTGTTACACAGGACGAGGAGGCCCGATCCTCCGATCTTCGTGTCATGGAGGACAGTCTTCGTCGAATCCTCAAACTAGACTCCCCTCTGGCGGCTGCCAAATCGGGAGAACGTCCTTTGTACTCTTGAAGAAGCCACTGGTCTGGGCTATGAGGTGGACGTTTTCCGTACGCCACCCATCAACCAGGTGTCCATGATCTATGTATGTGAAACTTTGGGACCAACAATTAGCATGGAACGGGAGTCTCTGCGAGTTCTGGCTGTTGATTGTGATTTTTGTTGTTGGGTGTCTTGGGGTTACGGGATGTGGCAAAATTGGCAGATGCTTTTTTTGTGCCAACGTCAGGAGTATTCAACTTGATACCCCGGAGGCGACATCGATGTTTTTCTTCAGTTAGGACAACTTCAATCATTTTCCGTCTGCATCTTCGTTGGACCGCTTCGTGGCGTACTTTCAAAGGTACATCATACTCTATTACAAACGGACAGTCTACCTTGTCTAGGGACCACTGGCTGTAAATGCCCGTCAGTGTGATGCACATCGAGAATACATGAATATGAGCGAGTGCTGTATTTTATTCCAAAGGCCGTAAGCTCGATCACTCTATCCTGTGTACTGGATATTGGGTTGATGACATAACGTTGTTGGGAAATTTGTTGTATTTGTCCTACGCAATAGCACGGCTTGAACTCGACGGGAAGCAAGGTGGGCATGACGAATATTAATAGGATTTTCTGCGGCAGCTCTCATACGGTACGGTTGTAAACGCAGCTGGATCTCGGAGTTTCATTCGGACATTACCTCGAGGTCTATTCTCGAGCGAGTTCGTAAATTGTGGATGGCGATGTGCTTTGCTAGATCAGCCCATACCACTTTGGGCCCATGCAAACATTCACAATACGCAGCATGCCATACAGTCTAGTTGAGCCAGAGATGAAGCCTTGATTCTCGATGCTGCACGGGTTTCAACTCGTTTCTGCCCTGTTGCCCAAGGCCATCATACTGATGCCGTGTATGGTGAATGCAAGCCCCCTCATCCTGTCATCTTGACACCGTGATAAGGCATGGCAGAGGCGAAGGGGCTGGGAGGAGGCGGGGAATTGAATTAGGTATGCTTGCCGGGAACCACAATAAGAAGAAACGCCACTTGTCCAGCTACCATGTGTCGTTGTGACGGATCAGACAATCGAGCCACAAACGCAAACAGAGCCACGTCCATATCTCAGCAGCTTGTGACCAATATGTCCAAGCTCTTGACGTAAATAGTTACATACACAAGCGTGACGACGAGACGGTAGAAGGCAATAATGCAAGTATTGCCATAAGTCTCTGCGTATCAGACAGTGACGAGACGAGCAACTGTAATCAGGGACAAGTCATGAATACATTAGATCTGTCGTGTTTGCTACCTGATCGTGCAACTATCAAGCTGTCACATACTAATTCCACCCTTGTCATTGGGAGTCTGAAAAAATTGTGAAGAAATCAAGCAGATACGAGCGCTAAGTTAATTAATTGTACACCAACAGAGCGGCGCTTCTTTGCATCTAATGTACCTAAGCGGGGAAAGAATGGGGGAGTATGCAACAAAGAAGCAATATGATCACGAAGGCACGTGACACCGCGACAGCTACCCGACCTAACTAATAAACGCTGTATGATATCGCGGCTGCCTTTAGCCCACGTTCAACTTATTCCACACCGAATTCAGCACAAAACAGACTCTGGAATTCAATTTCTCACCTTATAAATACTGAATCAGTCCGGAAAAGCGTATTTCTGGCGGCTTGCGCGCGACTATGAGTTCAGAATACAACCCAGCGCGTTCTGCATCACCAGATGCGGAAGATGACCCGGATCTGGCCTTGGCCATTGCATTATCTTTGCAACAAGAAGACATCGCACTTCACAATCGATCGGAGGCATCTAATGCGCCAGCGATCCCATTAAAGCAGTCCATCAAGCCTACCACTGGTGTTACGTTTGGGTCCCTTGCTCTTGACAGGAAAAAAATGGAAGAG